GTCTAAACCGTCCACTGACTTACATCTCTGGCCAGAACAATGTTGCCGATGCTCTCCCAAGAGCATTCACAGTAAACATCACTGGGCAGATAGTCGATTTATTTGCCTTGGCCACTGCTTAACCAAGTGATGAAGAATGCCAGTCTGTAGTTTACGACCTCCTCCGAAAATCTCACTGCATCCATTTCTCACTGCTGGCCGTCCCCGTCCAGTTGTTCCTTGGTCTTTCCGGTACATCGTCTTCGACATTCTTCACGCCTTCACCCACCAAGAAGTACGAGCGACGAATATACTTGTCTCAGACCAGTTTGTGTGACCTGACATACAATGCTATCTTAAATGGTTGGCACATCGTTGCTTAACTTGTTGACAGGCCAAGGTACATAGGAATCTATGTGGTCGTTATCCTTCAATCTGTGCTTGTTTCGCTCATTCCCATCTCAACATAACTGGTCTGACCAAGCTCGGTCGTTTACTCGATATCCTGAAGCTATTCCCATCCCAGATGCTTCATACAACGCCGTGACACGAGCTTTCCTCTAGCGTTGGGTTTCCCTGTAACTGTGACCACCAGTAGTGGTTCATAGCGCATATCAGGCATTTCGTGGGCTAATACTATTAATGTCGTAGACACCTCACCGCCTCCCATCCTGCATCGAATAGCATGGATGAATGTTTCGATAGGGTGTTTAAGACGTCCCTTAGTGCTGTTGACGCGTTCAGCTGGAGTGAAAATTTACCGATGGTCCTGTCAGGCATCCACCGCTCCCATGATAATAGATCTGCGGATGTCAAGTACTGAACTAGTTTGCGGTCACGTTTTACAACCGCAGGGAGATTTCGTCATCGGCGCTGTCACAGTTTACCGATATGATGCTACTTTTACCAATTAATTAGCTGCCAGAATTCATTCGTTATCATCGCACTTACTAAGAACAGCTAATCACAACCTTTTCGTCCACCAGTATTTGACTTAATATACGTACATCCTCGTTCGCATTGACGGTCTACGTCGACCATTAGAGCTACCGCACGAAGAGCCGTTTAAATTGGTCCGGTGTAAAGACCGCGTTCACATTATCCCAAACCACGGTAAACGTGATGCCGTTAGTATTGACCGTCTCAATGCGACCCATCTCAAAGCCGACAATTTTTCTGGAAATCACAGCACCTCATAGTTTCAACCAACCGGTGTCTATCAAGAAAGCCGACCATCTGCCGTCTATCCGGTAATCCGACCTTACAGTTTCGCATGTCACTAAGCCGCGAAAGTGGACCTGATTGGATAGAAGGGTACACTGAGCAGCCTGCAGTAAGTCGAAATATTGGTGGCTCGAGTCAACTATTGAGGTGGTTTGCTCGCCGACCTGAGCAATTTGATTGCAGGCACTTCGCTACCAATCAAGATAACATATTCAGTGCGTTGTGGTTGTTGTTGTTGTTGTTGTCATCATCGTCGTCGTCGTTTTAATGGTAGCAGTAGTAGTACTGGGTTTGGTAGCAAGAGCTACGCTCCACACATCCAGAAAATCGGATTTCTCAGCTCGACAAGCTAACCGAATGACCAGCTAGTTTGAGATATTATCCTTCTTCCCACTTTTTCTCCGCGCTTTCATTTACTTTCTGACCGAGCTGATACACTCGAAATGGCGAATTGTTTTAAAAACCCGAAAGGCATCAGAACATTCTAAATACCTGCAAAATATTTTTTTTATCTTCTGCTACCACATTTGGTAAACGTCCCTGCCATCTGTTTACTATCGTCGTTTCCACATGCCTCTGCGCTTTACATCCTTTCTATGTTACGCAACAGCAGAAACTTAAGCGTGGTCGGGCACTACGTCATTCAACGATATAAACGTCCCAGCTTTTTCCTCATTTTCGTCATTTTCAGGGGTAACGCGGTGATAGCCTGCTGAAACCCGTTCGCATTCGTGCTCCCCCAGCAGCTGCATCAGATTCCATCGCCTAATCTGGCATAAGGTTGGCGGGCGACGGATAATCATCACTTAGATCGAAGGGTCATTCACAGTTTTCTTCTAGGACGATCTATGCACTACTGTGGAGATTTCACTGTTTGATTGTAGTACTTTGTTTAAAATATTCCAGAATTGTAACCTTACCTTGTACCGAGGCGAATTAGGCAATTTAACTGTTGGAACATTGAATCCATTTGTTTGAGTCAAACAGGATGAGCGCTTTGGCGCGCCTTCGGCTACCGGCTTCAGAGGCGACCTACGGCGTTTGGTGACTTCCATTCTCTGCCCTCTAGTATCTTTCAGTGCTCTGTAACTAACGGAACTGTGCATTTAGACAATAAATGCATGCCGCACTGAAGCAGCAAGAAGAGCTCTCTATGTAGCTACATCTAATATCACTCAGGTACAAAGATCTGTTATGTTGGAGTGCGCTCAATATATTTTATGTCGGCAAAATGTTTTTCCAGGAATTTCTTAAATTCCGACGCCCACTTTGCCTCTGCTACGTGCTGCGGCATGTTGTTCCATACCGACGACTTGGTTCAGCTTTTGCAACTATTCGTGCCTCGTCAACAATAGGTTGGTGAAGCACAAGGGATCTTTCACAAAACTATGCTGTGCGGCCGTCAAGAGGATTTCGACTCGAGAAGCGCTTTTTCCAAAACAGCGGTCAGGCAGATCGGTCGGTAGTTGTCCACCTTGCTTGGGTCATCACCTTTCGGTATTGGTTTTACGACTGAGCATTTCCAGTCGCTGGGTAATAAACCAGTGGATAGTGACCTGTTGAACAGCTCAGTTACAGAAGGCGAGATGATGGGTAGATTCCATCTGGCCCGGCAGGCCTCGTCTCTTCAAGGCTTGTCAGCAGCTTGCGTAAATCTTCAATGCTGCAATCCAGGATGTCTAGCTCAGCAGGGGCGGTACTCGTCGAACTCGGTACAGACACCTGGACACTTGCAAATACGAAAGCGAAATGCGCCGCCAGTGCGGACGCACGATCTGTGCTCGAGGTTAGGCGCTATCCATCTGAACCTTCCAACACTGGCACATTGCCTGCATACCTCAGGCATCGTTTCACATAGACGAAGATCCTCTTGGGAGCAGTTTTTGCGGCGGTTGCAAGCGGCTCTTAGAAGCTGCTACGCTTTTTTATTTTCGCCTTGTTGCAGAGATTTCTCTGTACCTCATACGTCTTGTATTCCTTGTCAGAGCCAGTTTCCAATATCAACTCTGCAAACTTCCTCTCGACTTCACAATGGCTGGCGAGAAGTTCAGCCTCAGGTCGCGAGATTGGAGGTAGGTTGAAATCGCCCATGCCTAGGAACAACGGACCACTTATTTGGTTGCAGACATGAGGCATCCAGTCTAGGCAGCGGCTCAGTGGTCTGCGATATATCACGCCCACGAGCATCTCGCAGCGTCCGAGATGAATCGAACACCATAACTGCTCACATAGATCATTTGTTCCTTTTATCGTATTTTTTCTAAGGTTGATTGATTCTTGGTATATAGCGAACTCCTTCATCATTATAACCTTATCCTTGTGTTTGCTTACGTTCTGAATTCTTTTGTGTGGCAGATTTGTGTCCAAACTTTCTTTCACTGGTACAACCAAAGACAAACGTGCCCAGCGGCAATGCCTGTCAACCATTTCGGACTGCTTTGCTAGGTCTTTTTCTACGATTCACAGAAACAACATCCTTGGTGAGAATCATTTAGAACTCATTCAGAATTTCAACTACCTGGGCAGCTATATCAACGCCTGTGGAATAGAGCATCAAGCCACTAACCATACAGCAGTAGTTCGAAACGCCTTTGCTTTACTACGCCACTTATGGTGCGGGTGCGACATCACTTTGCTTTTAAGAGTGGCTTCTGCATTGCTGCCATTTGTTCGATTCTTATGTAAGGTTTTGATGGTTCACCCATCAAATCGATAGATTTAGAGGCTAGTTGCCCTCGGCTCCGTTGCCGTTGTAACTTGGCTCATGTCTGATGGGAACATCGCTTGAGCAATGGGTGTGTTTGTCTCCTTGTTTGTGGCGCAGTAAGAGGACATGAACCACTCCTCACTGTTGCTTCTCACACCAAGCTTCGATGGTTGGACCATCGGACCAAGACGACTGAGCACTGGAAATGGATTGGATTCCAACAGATGATAAGTCATTCAGGAGAAATGAGGACTTCGAAACTGACCTGGGTTGCAGTGTCCCTGCTTCCTGGTTGGAGCTTCGGGAGACTACAGGCACATTTGGTTGAAATACACTTGTTTACATTAATGCGAACTTTAAAATATAGCACTATATTTTTGTTTTGCTTTTTTATATCCAACAGATTGTATTGAATTGCGATACAATAGTTTGGATGCTTCTCACTTCTAGCTAACCTGTAGCATAATGATGACACTTAGCGAAAGTCCTATCGGTCACCCGTCTTGGCTGAGTTTGCGATCTTGCTGAAAAACGACGACATATGGGCTTTAGCCTGGTCGCTAACGATGCAATATACTTCATGTTGCTATATTCGAACATATTACACTATTTCTTTCCATATTTTTTTTAATTTTCGTTGCAAGCTATCGAAAACAGGTTGCAATGTGATGGCTGACTGTCACCTGTACCGGTAGCGGTTCTGTATTACTGTCATCACTTCCCCGATTGCCTCCTGTTACACCCGATTAAAACGGGATATCCTGTCTTTTGCATTGTTTCCAAAATTCCGGATAGTCGTTTATTATGTTTTATCGTCTTTTTTGTCGAAAGTCATAATTTCAGAGGTGTTTCCTCGCAGGCTCCTCTCAGTCAGCGCGCTTTGACACATCTAGAAAAGCACCAGACAGCGCTGTTTCGACTTTCTGGGTCTCGTTAGTGGTCCGCCTTCCTCGGACACCTGCCGGGTTCGGACCCCATGACTTCCGGATGCCAACAGCTAGTCCCAGCTAGCTATGGGTGACGGTCGCGGGCCTGCATGACTGGCAGTTGACTACGAAATAGCCCGGCTCATCCTCCATTGCCATGCTATATCGTAGTCAACTGACGAGACCCAGAAGCTCGAATCAGCGCTGTCTGTTGCTTTTCCAAACTTGCCAAAGCCTGTTGACTGAGAGGGAACTGCGACTAAGTACCTTAGAGATAATACAAAATCCCCACTACTCATTCGTAAACCTCGTAGTGTTTTATTGTTTGAATTCACATAATTTCAGTTTAACTGTGTAATAACATGGACGACCAAATAGCATTGCGGCCTGTTCTAGGAGACCATATAGCCGAAATCGTGTCCCTGATCTCATCGTTTTGCAACTTGGACTCAATTTGTCTCGTACATGTATTTTTCCGGTACAAGAGAGTTTAGTGCACATTTTTAACTGAAGAATATTCGTATTTTACCATCGCCAATTGTCGCACACATTTTGTTTTGCAGCTCATAACTTCGTGTGTTTGAAGGTATGTACAAGGTTTTTACTTCTCCGAGGTACCTCGGATCTTTGGCAATTACTGCACTCACTTTTCGCTTGGCAAGTGCGGCGTCAATCGGTCTATTGCCAACGTTCTCCGTTTGCGTCACCCAGAAACGACTGAAATCCAAGGGAAAATGGAAACTTGGTAATGCCGCCCCGTCTAAGAGCCAAATTCCTTCTGATTTGCTTGAATTTATCAAACACGAAGAAATGTCTAATCAGTTTGCGGCGATATTGACTCGGTTTCAGATGGCACTTCACCGTCGCTTGGTGCTGAGGCTTACACCTCAAATTCTAGCTGAACTACCCGTGAGTTGCATGTATGCACATAATCGGTTTACACCAATGGGTTAAAAGCATTTCCTGTCTTCTAATATCTCGTGGCCGCAGCCTGTGGTTATCACTGATGAGTGTGCAAACACCATTGTGCAATTTAATTCCTGTTCTGAGTCGAACACATGTGCGCTTACCTGATACCAAAGATAAGGCTTTACGGATCATGCCGTTACTTGACGCGACGTTTCGTTTAGGTTCCACCACGTGCTGCCTCTTTGAGCCCACATATGATGATAGAACTGTTCGAATGCGATAAACCAATGTAGACAATCATCAAGTTGCAAGGGATAGATACCACAGTCGCATGTGGCCCAGTGACCACTTTGCTCTTAAGTATAAATTGGCTGCTTTAAGTTCAAGAACAAAAATCTAAGGCTATTCCTGTCACCAGCGGTTTAATACAAGACAGTGTCCTTAATATACGATAACGATATCTTCGATAGAGTAAACTTCGGCACACCACACCTCTCTGCCAGTGACAACATTTTCTGCCCGGATTCCTCCGACAATGCTGTCAACATGATCCAACTCGACTTCCATGCGGCTAAAACCTGGTGCTCGAAGTGGAAAATGCCTACCTTTACTTACAAATGTTGTGCAATGTCCCACGGGTGCAATTTGACCCATAACGGCCTGACTCTTGGCCGCTGACCAATTAATCTCTGTCGTAGGATACAAGACCTGGGATTGCGATATTTATGCTTGCTGCGGGAACAAGGCAGAACATTAGATTGATATTTAGGACTTGTCTTGTACAAGCGTCAACACTTCTCAGCTTACAATGCAACCGTCCGTTCAACCCTTCTATACGGTTATGAAACCTGGCCCATCAGGTCGACAGACATAAGGAGACTAGTCACGTTCGACCATCGCTGCCTTCGCAGCTTAGCTCATGTTTGGTGGGAGCACCGCGTGATCAATGAATGTGTTCGGCGTCGTGTTTTTGATGCAGAAAGAGGTAGTAAACCGCTCAGTGCCATAATATCACACACCAGGCTCCGATGGCTGGGCCACGTGTTGCGCATGCCAGCCCACCGACTCCCGCGACGTTCGTTGTTTGCGTGCCCGAGGTTTGGATGGAAAAGTAGGATGGGAGGCCAAGCAATGACCTGGTTAGGAAGTTGGCGTCGGTTGGTGCCTCACGACTGGCTGGGTGAGGTCCGAAGGATGATGAACACGTTTGGTTGGACACACTTGTTGACATGGCTAGGAGCCGGCCCCAATGGCGTTTGTGCTGTGAGTTTCTTGTCCATCCACATCTTTAGATTCTCCCTCCAACCACGATCTCATAACAAATTAATCATATGATATTTAGCCTTATATTACTTGCTTTTTAATTTTTTGTAGCGTTGTTTTTAGTATTTTTTGTATTGCGGCACATTAGTTGAGGCGTGTTTCTCACCTTCAGCTAACGTGTATTGATGATGATGGAGCATGCGTTGGGGATCGAGGGATCTTCGCAATATCCGTACTTCACACGCAACTGGCAGTGGTTGCGTGGCAGTCATACGTCGGTACGGCTTACCGGTGTACTCCTTGTGCCTTTTTCTGTGCGTTAGATGTTTTATGAAAACGGCTGAGAGTTGTTGAAAGCCAGCCAACATCGTTTCATTCCAGTCAACCACTTCTTATGCAATGTGGGCTACCCTGTCCTCTGCACCGTAGTAACGTGCATGTCAGTGGACAGTGAGCGGCGATATAACACATTTAGTAGCTTAGTCGCGATGGTCGTTGCCGTCCCCCGTAGTTCAGTAGTTTCAACCACAAACTGGCAACAGTCGAGTTGAGGTTTCGAGCCCCATAAAGATCAAATGGAATGCGCCATGCTGGCGATTCCCGAAAGGATGAAACGGCCGCACAGCGCTTTTCTGGGCCTGTGGTGGCTGTCTGAGTAAGTCTAGATGTGGTGAGTTTCTTCATATACCATTCAACTCCCCCCACTACTCCCTCGTATGCATCTATTATGCATTTACTGTCTTTTCAAACGTCATAATGTGAACAACCTTTGATCAGTTTTATACATTTATGCACTTTCTGGATCTTGCCCATACAAACGTTTCTCGCACTATCGAGCATTTAACTTTATTTTTAATACTCACGTTATTGCCACCACGTCTCGGTGTTTCCACTATATCGAGGTATTTAGTATTACTGCACAAACCTTGTTTATGTGCTGGGCGCTCAAATTTATGTGTTTCGAACGTGCTTCGTTTATGAGTTCTGTTGAAGTCCCAACTATTTTATTATCTTAAACCGTGATCCGAACGGATGTCATGAGACGTTAGTTCTGATGTACGACTGCCGACATTCTGCCTCGATTTGGAGCCGACTGCTCGTTGATGCTACGGTCAGTTTGGGAGGACAAACCAGTATCCATCGAAACTTGTAGATCCCGGGTGCGAATGTCACCCAGACTATTGTAGAGCCGTGGGATATTCGGGTATTTTGAGGAACTTCATCACAACTAGACAACCGCAACATATTGAAAAAGTGCCGTAAGGTCGTTTCATTCTTTTGGGGCGCCTTAGAAACTCGCATCTCCCCCGAATCCACGCTTTGTTCGTACCCACGGTTATTCTATTCCGATGCGGTGAATTATTCACGGAAACGAGTGATGGTAATGGACATTCCTGGTTGTTTACTAACTTCGATATAATCGCGATAAATCTCCCCCCAATACCTCAGTGTATCTCTAACTACTTTGTAGTAGTTAGGCGTGGCACTAGGTTGAGCTAAGAGACGTAGTTCTGGCCAACTTTCTTCATGTGCACGTTGCTAACGCTCACGACGGTGACAGTTGACATACGCTATATCGCAACTAGTGGTCAATCGCTGCGGTCCTCACCGTCATTCGGGACTCATTGACTTAGTTCACTGTCTCGTGTGAGGATGGTTGCGCGTTCTACTCACATTGGACTCAACGTGTCATGCGTTGATGATGAGTCACAATAAGTGGAATTGGTCCATGGTGAAAAAATATACCACGGAATCTCCTTAACACATATCAAGAAACTTTCTTGTTTTTACCAGCCGTCTCACTCGATAGCACTCTGCTAAATTGTTTTATTCTGCAATGACTCGAAATACTGGTAGCTCGAATTGAGGTATTCGTTTGTTAACGGATCTGAACAGTTGAGTTGCAAACGTTTCACCATCAAGCAAAACAGAATCTTCACTTCATAATCGTAAGTGGCTTGTTAGTAAATACTTAGCCACGGCCACTGATGATGCTACCTCGATTATTGGCAAACTTCCTCCAACTCAATTACCAATTTTTATCTTTTCTCGTTTCAACCTCCTCCATTTTCTTTGTCTGTAAGCTACTTTCAACTGACAATATATTCCGAACGAATACGATCTTTGTTCGACTTCGATATCTTAGCCATGGAGTTTCGGAATTAACCCCATCGCAATGACGCTGGACCTTACCGTGGTGCGATGGTTTGTGTGCCTCAGCGATCCATTGAGCTATGCTGGCTGGTGCTTTTGCACCTTCAGAGTCACTCATACCAGATTGGTCAATGCTTAGAGGCCAGACAAACTCAGCCTCCTGGTCCTCCAGGTTGGGGGTTGGAATGAGTGTGGCACCTTATTCCGTAAAACGGACTCCAACGCCAAATCCGCTGCCTTGCAGACAGGTTTTTGAACCAAAGGCTTTGGTTGAGAACCCTAATCGTTCTCCTGTCTTGGCCTTGGCAACCTGACAGTATCCTGTCCACGCAATACTATGAGTCATTCGTCAAACAAATTTCTGGTGCTCTGGCCACCGCAGAGGATACTCAACGGTGCTTTATCTGCTGCATCGAGCAGGGTGGATAGGGGTTTGGATGCTACTGCTCAAGCCTTCCCGTCTTCTTATCCCCCCTCTTACGCTTTTTCACTCTTACCGTCCCGTTCCAACTTTACTTATTTCCCCCCAGTTTTCAACCCCCCGATTCTTGGTCCTCCCCCAATATGCTTTGCTAGGCATTTATCTTCTAATTTCAACTCACATGTGAACGCGGAGCGTCACTCCTGTCCTGTCGACAAGCCCATGTCCAACCAAGCGGTCCATTCCAGTTCATCGGCTTCCATTTGGAGCCCTCGATCCTCCTTTAGATTGCTATGCCTCAATGTTCGCACATTACTACAGATCGGTCAACAGGCAGCACTTGCCCGAACATTGGAGACCCTCTCGATCGATATCTGCTGCTTATCGGAGACCCGCCTGCAAGACTCGAGTTCCGTGCTCACTCTGCGATCCCCTTCAGGTGACGCAAGCAATATTTTCTCATTGCGCTTATCCGGTGACGATGCAGCTTCGAGCACCGGCCAAGCTGGTGTTGGTATTACCCTGAGTCCCCGGGCTGAAGCTACTCTGGTTGATTGGATTCCAATCAGTAGCCGGATGTGTGCGGTCCGATTGGCTGGCTCTTTCAAAGCTTCGAAGTCGCGCAAGACTAATAGGTGTCTATTCATCATCGCTGCCTACGCACCCACAAACTGTAGCGATGATTCGGTAAAGAAAGACTTCTACCTCAACTCACCAACGCCAACTCACCCAGCTCCTTCGCCACAGAAGAAGCACGGACACTGTTGTGCTGGCGGGGGATATGAACGCACAAGTTGGAAAGTTGTCCACTGATGAAATGCATCTGGGCGGTCAGCAAGATGTAGGCTCCCGTAATGATAACGTGAGCGGTTACTTCATTTGTGTGAAGGTGCCCGCTTATTTCTTGCGAGCACTAACTTCCGACACAGCACCCGCCGGAGGGTGACTTGGCGTCCACCAGCCTTGGACGCAGATCGATCACATTGCTATTAGTTACCGCTGGAGAGGCTGCATCTAGAACTGTCGCTCGATTTGGAGCACATGTGTGGACACCGATCATGCACTTGTATGTGCTGACATGCGGATGCGTTTTGGCGGACGCCCACGACGACGCTGTGAGCGCATTGACACCAGCCAACTGACAAAGTCAGCTGTTCTGAATGCCTATCAAAGTACGCTGACATGCGAGTTGAGTAAGCACTCACTGGATACAATTAATGGTCACTGGTCACATGTTCACCAGACCTTACTAGCAGCAGGCAAATCCTCATGTGGTATATCGAATAGCCAACATGGGTATTGGGTCTCTTCGCGGTCTCTGGAACTTATCGACGCTCGCCGGCATATCCCGGCTGGAAGCGAACACAATGAAACTCGCAAAGAGCTCCGGGCAAAACTCCGCGCTAGGCTGAAGAGAGACCTAGAATCTCATTGGTCTCAACGGGCGTCAGAGATGGATGTGGCCGTAAGTTATTCCGTCTGATACGGGAAACGGGCAGCAGGAGACCTGGTGTTAGTGAAACAATTTGTGATGAGAGTGGACAGCCTATCCAGAATTTGTCAAAACGTTTGGAGCGTTGGGCTGAGCATTTTGAAAAGCAATTTAATCGGCTAGAATTGTTCGATTCTTCGCCGGTCACTAATCGCCCTGCTCCGTGGGCTGTCCCTTTGGATCCACCCTCTCGCTCAGAAGTCGAACGTGAGATCGGACTGTTGAAGTTGAACAAAGCCGCAGGACCAGATGATCTTCTTCCAGCCCTCTTCAAATTTGGAGGCTCTGCTCTTGTTGATGCTTTACATGAATTTCTAGTGAAACTGTGGGAGCAGGAGACTGTCCCAACCGACTGGAGCCGCTCCGTTATTGTCCCGATCTTCGAAGGAGGCTCGCGTTCGGAATGCGGCAGCCATAGAGGCATCAGTCTGATCCCCATCGCCTCCAAATTACTCGCCTCCATAATTCTTCACGGACTGACTGGCGCTCGTGAAAGCCAGATTCGTGAGGAGCAAACCGCGTTTCTTCGAGGTCGTGGCTGCGTTGACCACATCTTCACCTTGCGTCAATTGGAGCACCGTCACATATATTGGCGGCCCATCGTTGTCGTGTTCCTCGACATCAAAGTGCCTTCGGTTCGGTTGATCGATGTGCCCTTTGGAATTGTTTACTCAGGAAAGGTGTACCTGAGAAATATGTAAATATTATCCAAGCATTATACGCGCTTAGCACGGGCAGAGTGAAGGCTTACGGCAAGCTGTCGCGCCTTTTAATATCTCCAACGGTGTGAGACAAAGATGCCCGCCGTCATCTTTGCTCTTCAACTTCGCTATTGACGAAGTCATGAAGATTGCATTTACAGGACATGACTTGGAAGGTGTGGAGCTACTCCCGGAGAACGACTTCTTGACTTGGAGTATGCAGACGACATTGCCCTCATCTGTGGCAGCTCCCAGACGTGCCAAGCCGCGCTGGATAGATTAGCACTGGCTGTCAGCTGCTTCGGGCTTTGTTTTGCACCATCGAAATGCAAAGCGTTCCTCCAAAATTGACAGGGATCGCCTCCTGCGCTGACCCTTGGTGGGGATCACTTAGAAGTCGTTCGGAAATTCAATTACCTTGGAAGTTGTATCAGCGCCCTTGGGATCGAAGACGAGATCACGAACCGTATAGCGAAAGCTCGAAGTGCTTTTGCTAACCTTCGCCACCTATGGCGGCGGCGCGACGTTACTCTCGCCCTGAAGGGTAGAGTGTACAATGCAGCGTTACGTTCGACCTTACTGTACGGTTGCGAAACCTGGCCCATAAGATCGGCTGACATGAAGAGTCTAGTTACGTTCGACCATCGGTGCCTTCGCAGTTTGGCTCACATCTGGTGGGAACACCGCGTGAGTAACGAGCGTGTTCGACGCCTTGTTTACGGCACAAGAAAAAGGAACTAAACCGCTCAGCACCGTTATTTCACGCACCAGGTTCCGATGGCTGGGCCACGTGTTACGCATGCCAACCCACCGACTTCCACGACGTGCGTTGTTTGCTCACCGGGGGTGTGGATGGAAGAAAAGGAGAGGTGGCCAAGCGATGACTTGGTCCAGAGGAATGAAGGCCCTCACTTCTGTGCTGGCCTCGGTTGGAGCGTCACGGCTCCCTGGTTGGGGTCCAAAAGACGGTGAACACGTTTGCTGAGATGACAAAGAGCCGACCTCAGTGGCGTTCATGCTGTGAGTTTCTTTGTCCCTCCCCATCCCTTTTAGCCTCCTCCTCCACCCACGATCTCATTTCGTAACGTAAAACATAATAATTTTTCTTGTTGCCTAGTAGCCTGCTGGTAGCTTACCGGAACGATGCCTATCCGTTGCTGGTAGCTCAGCTGGCATGCAACTGTTTTATTTATTTTCCTTTATGTATTGCGGCACAGTAGCTGAGGTGTTTCCCGCTTCTAGCTGACGTGTATAATGATTAATGATGATGATTCGGAATTAACCATGCGATTGTAATGTTTGCTTCACGTCAATTAATAGATTCCGGAAGCCAACGTGACTCTTGGACAAGTGGCAGATCTGCTTTTACAACGACAAAACTCCGCAGAGTTCGGTAATGAGACTCTTTTGATTGATCTCGCGAACCGACCAGACTTGGTTGTATCCGCACGCAAAGCGGTAACCGCGCTTTTGGACTCCACAGAAGGTGTTTCCGGAGGGACGCAAGTGCAAACCGCTGGCTCCTCAGCGTTCACTGTCAAATTACGTACAGTTATCACTGGCGATGCTCGCGAGCGTTTGATTCAAAAAGGTAAGGAGCTTTCATTTCACAGCATTCCTTTTTGAATAATAACCTTTGTATTGACCAAGTTGTTTTAATAAAGTCAATACAAACCTTATGTACCCAAATTGGTGTATTTTCCTCATTTTACATTCTCAACTGCGATTGTACTAAATTAGTACTAAAAGTGCAAAATTTTACAAATGAGTGGACAAAAATAAAAGCATACTGTCATCACTGGTAAACGGCCCGGCTTTTCAAAGCAACGAGCGCACGATATTGAACGGTAACCTCGGGCTTTGCATCCAATCAACGGGGAAGCTTTGCTAAATTTTTTCGTTATAACTGGTATCACTTGACGCAAACATTTTCGTCCAAAAGCAATGATTCGGGAATAGTGCGCAGTATCCCAGCATTTGTATTCCAAAAATGGATATAGTGAGTATAATGGTTTCAGTGACCAGGGAAATTGTTTGGACAACTAATCTGTCAGACAGTTCTTGCGGTACTGATATCTCTAGGGTAAAGGTAAAAATATTGCTCCCCAAAACGGAAAACCGTCGATTGAAAGGCCTTGCCACGGAATGTTAATTGATTTGTGGAAGTTCCGAAAAAATCTCGAGCATTGTCGACTTACGTAGAATCCCTATTTCGCCACTATGTAGCTCTTATGAATTAAATACTGTGGTTCTGCAACAACGTATGTACCTTTGGGACCGAAGTGTTTTTGATTGTTTAACGTGTCTACTGAGTGGTGGCATACGGCTACCGATCTGGTGGCCGAACAAGATCATTAGATGCTTATGACTAAGTAGAGCATCGGAGGCGAATTTTGTTCCATTCTCACCTACATCATCCGTGATGCGAGATCAGGGGACTAGGATCGGTCAAGATCAGAGTCCAGGTCAGTAGAGATATCGCGAGACACATTTGGTGGCCTTGGTATGACACTATAAACTCGTTGATATATCGGAGTTGATCAGTTGTCCACCTCCTCAGATACCATTTCATTCATAGAGGCTAGGCATAAGTTCTTACTACAGATACTTTAAGGCAGTGCTAAGCCATTTCTAACTCGTTATCTTTCAAAACTTTTTGTAATTTTGTTTTCCTTAAAGTTGTTTTGTTTGTTATCTCCAGAAGACAGCGCATATTAGACCGGGCTTTTGCATGTATGTAGATACGGTCTGTTATGTTCTTGGTGTCCTTCAATCAACCACATCCATGCATGGAAACTGAGATGACAAACAAGCACTGATGCGATATATATCTCGTAGTGGGAAAGTCCGAAGAGTTTGAGCGTTGTACAGTAGAAAGGAAAGCACGTCACAGTCCAGGATAGGATCAGTGACGAGTTGCAGTGAAGGGAAATATAGTTGTAGTTAATGGACATAAGTGTCAACAAAGGGAATGAATTCGTTGGGAGGCAATCCTCCTAACACAACCTATCTTTTGACTATGACACTGGAATAACTGCCGATCACGTGCTTACTTCGCTACAATAGATATCAGCCTGTATGTACTTGTTCTGTATGTAAGACGTTGGTAGATGACAATTAAATAGTCATGCGTCCTCTACATCTACTGCGGATTAGTTTTGGGGCGCTTAGTGGAATACTGTTCCATTAAGTCCAGTGCATCCCGAAACTGATTAACTCAGTCGTTTTTTCACTTTGCTTAAACTGATCAAATTCTCTTAAGATCACCCATTATACGGATAGCGTATTGTTGCTGAGTTCAATCTGAGTTGATTAGTCCACTTTTCTCGTTGGTGACATCTGGATTCTCAGTCCTGCTTCGTGGCACTACTTTTCACACTCTGACCCGACGCCGAGTAGTCTCTTGATTTAGATAGACATTTTCTGTAAGCGAACGGGTTGGGAACTGTTCTTGAGGGTATGAATAAATGATTCGAATCTTCGTGTATCTGGTAGTGACGAAGTTGGGTGTAGCTAGTCGATCTCGTAAATGTTATTGTTCATTGGGCGTTAGGTGACATGATGTGAACTTTTGCGCGAACGCTTACGCGCAGATTGAAGCGGCTCTGTATATGAAAAATATGTCGGTATTATGATGTGTTGATTTGTTCACCGAGCCAGGTAATTCAGCTGAAAAATGGTTCACCACAAATTGGGGTCGGCATTGACATTACGACCAGCATCGATTCTTAAACCGACCCGTAAATGTTAACCGGGCTCTGATTACGGGACCACTTGAGGAGTATCGGCATAAAAACTACGGCTATTCTATCTACATGTTCAGTCATACAAGTTAGACTTACTGGTATAATTCACCCTTGCTGGCTACGCTGGGCTTATACGTACATCGGAGCAACTGAATAACGCTGAGTTATGAGATCATGTCTACCGCAGAGGGATCGCGCTGCGGCTACGGAGCTCACGTAGTTTGTTTAGCCAACAAACTACTATTTACTGCGTTCCACTCTGACTGTTAGTTGGTGAGCTACAGCCACAGAAGTGAGCACGAGCACAAACCGCTCGTCGGAGTAGTGTCAAAGTGGCAACGAAAGAGCTTGAAGAACAATATGGTGTATGTGTATGTGTATGTATGTGGAGTGCTCCATGCTGAGGCTGATGTTGCATTCTTGATGCTTCTTCACCGCAGTTGGGCTAGACCAACTTACACTTAAACTAGGTCTCTTGAAGCTGCATAAATTTCATTCCAGTTTATTTGGTTTGTTTTGCCTATCTGGATAGTCTTCTATTAGCTGGCCACGTTGTTTACGCTAATTGCGCTTATCTTCGGTAATTTTGTTGCGTTTGTAGCATTTTTGAGTAACTTGTGGACATTCTTTTTCCTTATCGCGGATTCATTGCTAACCAAATTACTTCATATGCTAATTTAGCGAAGAGTTATGCCACCGTATCTGTATGCATTATTAGATTTATTTCATTTCATTTTGTCGTTTCAAGTGATTGGCTGTTGCTTGATATCCGCGATGTGGCTGCGCTTGATGTGCATGTTGACAAGGTGCCTACCTGTCTATTACCCACTACCTCGTCCATACTGGCTCCAGGAGACAGTTGGTCGTTGCTGGAGGGGACGGGGTGCACGGTCCTTGTGGCCGTGCTAGGCTCGAAGAGTGGTTCCGTGCACTCAGTGTGGAGCGGACTACGATCCAGCCACCGCCTTGTGTGCGGTTGATTCCCCAAATACAGTGTGCTTGTGTTTGCCTGTGAAGGAGTGTGGGCCGGCTCCGTTGATGAGACGTGGCTCCCATCCACATGCCTCCCGGTCTTATTCCTTCGGGTTTACACTGGATATGGGGTGTGTGGTTGGAGCTGTGGGTGGTGCAGCGCAAGCCATCCATGGTCCCTCTGTAGGCGCAGGCGTCCTGTGGCTTGCCACAGTGACAGGAAAATCCGAAACCGGATGCCGCCAACCATGTGTGTGGAAGTCGGTTAAACCTAGGTGGATACATTTCAATTGACTAGCCAAACATAAGGGGATAACCATATGAGTCCTACGCAGTGCTATAAGTAATTTAATCGTTTTGAACACAGCAGGATGTCGTTCGGTGACGATCCCAAGCATCGACGACCTCCAGAATCAACAACCAAATCAATCAACCAAAATGAACAATGATTTATAACGAGCAAAAAGCAGACGTTGGACAAGTCTCGTAGCATGATTGGGGTGCGTATTGTATGCTAGTTTAATTTAGAGGAAAATGGGAAAATTCGGGTTTAATCTGGTTCACTGAGTTATTCACCTTAACACACGTAACCTAGAGGACTGGTGCGCACACTGTTCGGTTGGCGTTATTTCATCTTCCGATAGAAATGGACTGTGTCACGTAATCTAGATATGATGAAGTGCAATCCAGTCATTCTTTGTACCGTTATTGTGGGAGCAAAAATAACGTGGTTTGGTAGAGCGTTCCAAGTTCGAGATACCCGAAAGGAGAAAACGTTTTGTCGGCAATCAAGTCGACCGCAGTGCGTGGCCATTTTCAGCTGATGGCCTCTCGAGTTGGTATTATGGCTGAATTGCGACAGGCGTGTTTGGACTTTGCCAATATCTAGTACACCGATATTCGCCGTTGTACAACCCTAAGGCCTCCAGTCTGTGTTGGTAGGGGAGGCGAAACATTGAACAAATAAATAAATAGTCTATTTCTCGGTGCTGTAAGACAGATCAACTACGTTGTCTGATCATTATGTACAAAGTAGTTTTCAGGGAAGATTTTGCGGTGTTCTATTAATTAAACGTCATAAAAAAACTACAGAAAGTAGAGAGCAGGAGTAGATGTCGGTATAGCCAGTTGTCCAAATAATACGACCATCCGTGGAACCGTCTCCTGCATACCTGCTTTTAGGTGGGTTAGTGCCTCGAGAGGTTTCATCCGCACTTCCACGCTTTACCTGCCCTTGTGCTGATGTGGTTTAAATGCGCAAGTCGTCATCATGAAGACTCTTTTTATGGCCGTCAACATATTGGATTGTTTTTTTTTCTCATGTAAACTGTTATAAGCAAAGTAAGCCTTCCTTGTGCCATTGTTGCTAAAGAGCAAATAGGACAACACCATGTTAACTCATCTTTTAGGCTACTGTTATAGGCACACCCATTCAGGCCGTTCCAACATCCCGCTCATTTGAGTCCAGCACCATCTTTTCTTATCAGTGGGTCTGGCAATTCGCCTTGCGGGGATCGTTCTTAATTAACTTGAAAGCTTTAACCCATCACCTAATGGGATCGGCACAGTCGGGATCAGCCACGAGAAAAAGAGAAACAAGGAAATAGGACGAACACCGCAGTGAGTAAAACTTATATGCTTCTCTAAAATGAAATGTGGTCTGGCGGTTATTTGTCTTGGTTTGTACAAGCAGTCAGAGAGGACAAGAAGTGTTCGAAGTATTTAGCAACAAGGCAGCTCTTAAAAGGTTTTCGGGTGGTTCCCTCAGATACTCAAAAAGCAGAGAAAATAAAATCCATCTAGATTTCGTGGAGCACGGAAAACTGCAACGTGTACCTGAGTTGTGATCTCCAGGAAAGAATAGATGATTAGTACTGTGGGATAAATGCTACGAATTAAAATGAAGCACTAAGACTAATTTCGGCGTCAGTTAACTTACGTTTAACGTTACGACGAAAATTCTCGTTATTA